AGAGAAAGAGAGAGAGAGAGAGAAAGAGAGAGAGACTGTTTAGTACACTTTATGACTTATATAAATGTAATCTATGGATGATCTATTGTACATCAACTACATGTGCTTTGAGATGCTCTCCTCACCCCTTCAAACGATACTGCTTCCATCATCGAGACTGTCTTCTCTCTGTCAGGACTCACACATAACCTTATTCACACAAAGAAACAAAATAACACAGTCAGACTGTAAGAACTGCACACCTGCTACAGGCAGTGGTTATCATTCATTCATCTACTCCCATTTATTAAAGTGTTACTACAACATAACAAATGAATTTCAACAAACTCTATGTTTGACTAGTATGAGCTTTACCAAGTAAAATTTACTTCAAATGATTTCATAAAATATTTACAGTATATTTGCAATAGCATACATAAATATGAATTATGAAAACATATACAGTTTTTGATGTTCTGTATGTCTTTAACTATTTAATTTAAGTAAAAAAAACAAGGCCTCTGTTTACAAGCACTGTGGTTTAGATCACAACTCAGTTTTCGTGTCTTTCAGAGGCTCAAAACTGAGACTCACCCTGAACTATAGCACAAGGGTGTGTAAGAGCCACAAACAGACAATTAGCTGAAGACTGAACTTCTATCGTGTGATAAGGACTCTTCTGTCCCTCGTGGACAGAGGCAGATAGAGCACATCAGAGGGGTTTGGTGAAGTCTTGGCGCTTCAAAACGCTCTCTACTACTTCAACAGAAGATGGTAAACACAAATGTTTTCCTCACTGAACAAAAATATGATTATCTTATCAATGTTTATGAAATTACTATGAAATGTAAAATTATTTCCAATGTGTTAAAGTTCATTCAATTCCGCAATAGTTGGGATTTGGGATTTGTGCTAAAAACTGTGAGCAATGACAAATCTAGTGGATGGAGAAGAACACTGTTTCCTAAAATTGTTTATTAGAATATGACCATCTATATGTTAATTTACGAAGCCTATATACAACAAATACACTGAAGACAGTGTTCAACTTCAACAAACTAAATACACCAGACTGTACACTGAAAAAAATGAAAAACACTCAAATAAATTGGTATAGAAACAATTTTTATTGTTTCTATAAATTGCTAGTATATTTCACAATTACAAAGAAACAGCAAGTAACACCACAAAGCAGAAAAACTGAAATAGTATTTACTTGTAAAACAGACTCAAATAATCTTTGTTTTATTACTACTTTGAAAAATCGTTTTTTGCAGTGTACCTTTAGCAGGTGTCCCCCTCCGCAAGTGACCACTCTCTCATTTTAACCTACTGTTTTCATTTGCACCCACTCAGACCTTCTAATAAACACTTCATTTGGCTGTTTAACAGAGCACAGCACACCCTTACCTGAGCCCAGGTGGTCTTGGCGGGTCTCGGTGCTGGGTTACCGCGTCTACACTTTGAGTGCCCAACTCAAGACTGACCTCGGACTGATTCAAAAAACATGGGTGGAGATGGAGGGGTAATGGAAAAAGAGAGAAAGACGTAAAGTCACTTAGTGCATGGCAACCCGAAAAGCAACAGCATGTGTAGAGCACCCAGGGGTGGGAGGGAGTAATAAGACCCCCATAATCAGAGAAATAGCCTTATCCATAGGACCACCTTACAGCAGGAATACCCCAACCCTAACACCACTCCAAAAAACAGTCACCCTCGACCCGGTACAAGACAGAACATAGTAAGAGAGGGAGAGAGAGTTTAACAAGCAAAGTAGTTACCTGTGCTAGTTAATTCTGGATACTTAATAAACAGCTTCAAAAGGCATTGGTTCATGTGAATTGTGCATTAAGGCTAGTTCCTTAGGTAAAAAGGTATCTGCAAAAAACATTAATATAAAATATAAATAACCCATTGTTTGTGCCACTAACAGAAAACAGTTAATCTGAATAAAGGCCAAATTATGACATAGAGAGAGAAGTTTATGTGGAGTTTTAATGTGGAGCTCATCATAAGCAAGGCAAATGAATCAGCAAAACAGCATCTTGCCTTCTGACGTCAAGCTGCATAGAGGTTTGGGATTCCCTTCATGTAGGGTAATGGTGGACACCCCTCTAAAGTTGGCTGGGGGGGTGGGGTTCTTTAAGGGGTTTCCCCCTCCTAGGCCCTCACATCAGTTTGATATGTCACCTTTTTTCCGCTGAGTCACGGAAACACTGCTGCCCTTTGAGCCAATGAGAGCTCGTTTAGGCCCTGAAAAAAAAGAAAAAAAAAACAATAATCCAGGGTGTGCCATTTGAACCTTCTTGGTTCAGGTCATTCTCTAGAAACGCCATTTGTGTTCCCTTTATGTTCCCGTGTCTTACTATTCATTACTACTCAGGACACTAAACCTGGCACACATAATTTGATAGATTTAACTCTGTTTAGGCTGTAATGCAAAAGAAAGTTGAAAATATAACAGTTTTATTAAAAATGTTTGATTAGTCATTGGAAAATCAGCTGATTTGTATGTTGCCATTCATCACATTTACATTTTTACAAGAAGAAAAAAAACAGATACATTTTGGTTTTATTGAAATTATTTTTTTTATTTATAAAATGCTTTATGCATTTTCTAAAAATGCATATTTTGTCTTTATCCCTCTCTTTCTGTTCATTTCCCCACTTAAAAATAACGGTTTAATCTTTCTGACATCTTAAGTGAGGGCATCGTAACTGTTTTTGATCACATGGTTCTAACAGATTATGTTTTGCTTACAGCATGTCTTTACACTTACATTTGCCTTATCAAGCTTAATATTTCAGCTCTGGGGGAAAATCACAGTGATCTGTTTTTGTTTTAGTTTTTTTCTTGGCAAAAAGTACAAAAATATTGACTTTCAATGAAATGTTCTCAATTATACCCTATGTGATTTATTAGTGAAAGTACCCAAATTTACTCATTTATATTTAAATATGTTTTTTTTAAATCAACTATGACAGAGTAGAAATAATGCCATATATTTAGGATTGTGGGGGAAAAATGTTGACCCAACTCTGAATTAGTGAGAACCGTCCACTATTTTTACAGCAATTTTAGCCATGGTACATTGGGTATGAGGTGAACATGGATGGGAAAATGATTTTTGAAAGAAGCAGTAACCCGGCACCAACACATTATTAACACAAGCATGACCCCATGACTGTTTACCACTGCGCTCAAATTTACACAAGCTTTCAGACATAAACATGCAACTTATATCTTACAATTCATATGAACAACTAATAATCATTTTCAATATTTCAATATGAAACAGCAATTTATGTGACCGAATGTGATACATTACCTGAAACATGGAGATGGGGGTTGTGTGGTCAAGGGTCTCGGGCTGCCATTTAGAGTTTGAAGGTTCAATCCCAAGCCTATGTGATTTATTAGTGAAAGTACGCAAATTTACTCATTTATATTTAAATATGTTTTTTTAAAATCAACTATGACAGAGTAGAAATAATGCCATATATTTAGGATTGTGGGGGAAAAATGTTGACCCAACTCTGAATTAGTGAGAACCGGAGAATTTTAGCCATGGTACATTGGGTATGAGGTGAACATGGATGGGAAAATGATTTTTGAAAGAAGCAGTAACCCGGCACCAACACATTATTAACACAAGCATGACCCCATGACTGTTTACCACTGCGCTCAAATTTACACAAGCTTTCAGACATAAACATGCAACTTATATCTTACAATTCATATGAACAACTAATAATCATTTTCAATATTTCAATATGAAACAGCAATTTATGTGACCGAATGTGATACATTACCTGAAACATGGAGATGGGGGTTGTGTGGTCAAGGGTCTCGGGCTGCCATTTAGAGTTTGAAGGTTCAATCCCAAGTGACACAGATTCAGAAAACAGAGCACTTCTGGCATCCTCTTGTATCATTCCCAATGTGCCCTCAAGCAAGGCAGGTTGCTCTAAGACAACCGATCCTGCTCCTGGAGAGCCACCTTCCTGCAGAGTTTAGCTCCAACCCCAATTAAACACATCTGAACATCTAATAAAGGTCTTCATGATTACTAGAAACCTTCAGGCAGGTTGCAGCAAAACTCTGCAGAAAGCTGGCCTTCATGAGCAGGACTGGACAGGTCTGTCCCTGCAATTATTATGCTGCTGTCTTGACTGAGAGCTGAAAACTAAGAAAAAGACAATGCCAAATAAAAGGAAAGAGGTATATAAATAACACTCACATGATACAATGAATACTAATAATATACAGTCAACTTATGATTTACCTAGTGTTCATTTAAAATAATATATACATTGTAAAAGTCCATGGGGAGGAATACACACCTTTATACCACACTCTCAGAAATAAAGGTACAGCAGCTGTCACTGGGGTGGTACCTTTTCAGAAGGTACACATTTGAACATAAAGGGTCCATTTTGGTACCTTAAAGGTACATATTGGTACTTAAAGTGTACATATTAGAACCTAATAGTTACAAAATTGTACCTTTTGAAAAGGTACCGCCCCAGTGACAGCTGTTGTACCTTTATTTCTGAGAGTGCAGGTGCATTAGAGCACATTTTCACTGGGGACATCAGGCAATGATTACAGTTCACTGACAACACATAAATGATGTCAGCATTCCCGTGGCTAGAGACCTCTCAGGAGTAAAAGAGTAATTAATGCTCAGTCCTGCAGTTATGACCTATTAAAGGATGGAATAATTGCATCTTGAGAGGAGCATCACATGACCCGTGAGCAATAACTGAACCCAAGTGCCCTGTTGCATGATTACTGAGCCAGTCTGAGAGGAAGTTTTCTTTATATAGTGTGTGTAAATGCTAAGGCAGGTTTTTGTCACTTGTAGTTTAATATTATAACAAAAATGTATGTTTCCTGCTTCTCTGTTATTGTATACACCCTATTTTGGAAGGCGAAAGTAGGCAGTTTTTCTGTGAATGTGATTCATTAGCCGCTACCTGAAAGTGCAGTAAACGGTAAATGTATTTGCGCTACAAACAAGTGTGTTTATGATTACTACAATAAAATAAAATGATAGAAATTATAAAACAAATACCAGTTTGTAATATCAAGCAGCATAACAGAGTGTTTTTGTACAGGACAAATAACTGGAAGCAAATGACTCTGGAAGTCTCGCACATTCAAGTTACAAACAGCTGCACTCGCTTCTATTTTAGAATTAAGGTGGATGAAGCTGTTTAGTAGAAATGTGAGTATTTACTCTAACAATTACATTTTTACTCTAATGATTACATTTGTTTACAAGTTGAAATGCAACTTGAAATCTGAAATTTGATTTGATTCGATTACACGTGATTATTTTGTTGGACTACAATTTAGCCAATTTAAGAACAGATAACTGTAACATATTTAGATATAAGTTTAGCAAGCGCAGGATGCATCAGCCAATGAATTCACTCAATTATTAACCAATAGGTTTTAATGAAAGCAAAGAGTTTGTGATAGTTTTAATAATGAAAGATGCCTGAAATGTACAAATATTAACAATAACCAATTTTCAGTTTAGGGTTTGTCTTCGAATGAAAAACTTTGAAATTCAAAACAATACATTGTCATCAATATTTTCCAGAGATATACAATTAGACCAATTACCTCAAGCCTTGGAGGTAACTGACTAAATCCCACTGATGTTGATATTCAGATGAAATGACAAAATAGCATACATTTATCAAAAGTGTTCAGATGAGATTGTGTGCCATCTAGGCCTATTAGTCAAAAGAGAAAATTAAAGGCGGTGGGGGTTCATCTTGCCCTGAGAGGCAATTTTCAACAATATTTTGACAACACAAATGTAACTAGAAGGACGATTTAACCACCATTTTTTTTCCCACATTGTAGAATCTTGCCAAAAATCATACGGCTTTACATTCACAGACTCAAGATTTGAATTATGATTAGGAAATTAATGCATAATATATTTGATATTATTAGAATGATTACAATCAATAATTATATTCTTGAATTTAATTTTCTTTGTCAGAGGTATTTTTAGCACTGTATGCTTGCTCTTGTGAGTATCTCTGCTCTTTACAATAACACCAGTGTGCCTTTGAGTGTTTGTAAGATATTATTCCCCAGCGTTCAAGCCAGTGTCCCTCCTGCACTCTCTAGCATTTTATGATAAAACACACCAGCTTTACTGTTCTGTGCTAACCATACACACAAACTATCACCCGCTGCTTTAAGGGCGTTCACACAATTTTCATTTACAAAATTACAGTGCAGTGTTCAACACTTTGTTATAATGAAATGTTGGTGTCAATGCCCTGTGTTTTGTCTTACAAAAACAGAGATGTCATATTGATTCTGAGCCTTCCTGACTTGAACCATATGTAATACTTTTGTTTAGTGCACAATATTTATAGTACACTATTACACCTGAATCTTGTGAAATAATCCCTGCAACTGATTGCTGGTAATAATTATCATTCTGTTACTTGCAAGTAGTTAGGAAATCTTCTTTATTATAGATGGCTCCATTTAAACAATTTCGCCTCCATTTTGTTATGCATGAAGTGAAAACTGAGAGAATATCAAATATACTGAAAGAACAGTTGCAAAGACTACCGCCCTCTACTGTTCAATTTCTTTGGATCTCGGCATCGTCTAGTTTTTGAGGATCTTTTGGTCTACTTCACTTTGTCAGACAGGTCCTACCCCATGATTCTTGTCTTTAGATTCTGACCGGTGAAGGTTAATGGTTACCTGGTTGTTCGAGGAGACTGAAAACAACACATGCACTCTTCCTCACTGAGACACCTGTGTCAGGACGGCTACACCTGGCTCACCTCCACCTGTCTGACACGCCTACTGAGAAACTGATCATCACTGTCAATGACAATGAACCTCTTTTACCTTTCACTATTGAATCAAAATAAATGTCAACAGCTGCATGAAATAATTATTTGTAGCATACACTTGAGCTTTTCAGCACTACTGAAAAAAGAAAGAACAAAAGAAAAAACCTTGGCAAACCACACTAAGCTAGTTTCACGGGCGTGAAACTAGATTAAAGCCAGCATTCTGATGGTTTGCTGGTTGGCAGCTAAAAAGTCAGGCCAAAATGAGCTAAACAATTTAAGGTTTAAGCCGTTCTCAGCAGTATAGCACTGAATGTAAAATAAAGTGTTACAAGTTTTACATACAGATTTAATATTTCAATATGTGTTATGTATTTTTATGTAAAAATGTTTTTAAATGAGGACCTGACAAAAAGCTTACTGTAACATAACACTTTTAACATACAATAAAACCAGAACTCACAGAAATCGAACAATCCATGTATTTTAAGGTCAACAACAAATTAAAAGAATCAACTGGACCAAGTTAAGCAGCTAAACATCGCTGTCCTCAACCACGAGAAGAAAGTACTCCCCAATATTATTTTCATTTATTTGTGATCTCTTCATGCTGACATGGGATGGTGGATATAAAGGGACACTTGCAAGATGGCAATTTATCTACTCAGATGGACCCAAAAAGAATGTGAATTAGGTGACCCAAGCTATTAGGCATTCCCTTCTTACATTTAGTACATTAATATATCATTATCCATTTTTCCCTTTAAACCCCCCAAAACAAAAACAAATAATCAGCAGATGAACAGTGACCCCAGTAGGCAATGTGGCTTCAACAAAAAAAAGAAACAAAGACATTAACCCTTCCACTGGCCTCCTCCTTAGCATCCCCGCATCTTACTCCTCCAGCTTAAAGGATGCGTGGACTGCAGGACTCATACCGTAACTGCTCACTTTAGAGTTACAATAATCATTTACGTCCAGCAACCAGACAGGAGGAGAGAAGAGGAGGGGACGTTTAAGGATCCTACACCAAAATGCTCCTAAATTAATTAAAAAAAAGAAAAAAAAAAAAGAATTTAATTAGGACGTCATCTCACATTTCTCGCAATTCTGAGAAAAGGGTCATTAATTCAGATTAATTGCAATTCTGACTTCTTTCCTTAGAATTCTTGGTTTACATCTCACAATTCTGTTTTTTGATTCCACTACGGAATAAAACAAATAAAGGAAATTGCAACTTTTTTTCTTCCAAGTTCACATCTCCCAATTCTGAGTGTGGATCTTGCAATTTTGACTCACTTTCTCAGAATTGACCCAAAAAAAGGCAGAATTGTTGAGATAAAAAGTCGCAATTACCTTTATTTATTTATTTTTATTCCATGGTGGAAATGGCCTTCCACATAGAACATTGTAATCTTTATGAGAGGTGAAAAACTCCGATCTGAAAGAGTCTGAATACCATAACTATCACTGTGATCACTAACTGGAGACAGTGTGCGACATATCTCTGTGCTATAAGCCCTGTGTTGTGAACCAAGGGTCAAACATATAAAAGACATTGGATTTTCTTCAACAATTTAAATACAATCTTTTTCTCCCTTTTAAAATACATGTCTATATATGACAAATTAATAATCTGTTACACACTAAAGAAGCTAATGTTTGTCCAAATCAATATTTGGACGTTTTTAAGGGGTTCTTGGGTTGCTTTAGAGTCTGGATGGTGGTCCATTATTCTGTATAGGTTGAAAACCCCTTTCCTAAGGGATATACAGAACGATCACTGCAGTCGACCTGCTAAAATCCCCCACAGTAGATGAATGGATCATCTCGAGCCTCAGAGGTATCAGCTCTGATCTGTAACGTTAAACCACTTCTCTATCAAACCCGTTTATGAGACACGTCGGGCATTTTGGAGAATAGCACGTATTAAAACATGATGTACGATAAATTAGTGCATGACATTTATTCATAAATACATAAGCAGGACGAGATAATGAAGAGGGATATGTTAATAACAAAGATAGCAGAGCTAGCAAGCATGAGCTGGTTACTCTAACGTACCATATTCCTGAAGACATTTTACCCGAGTA